GCTCAGACAACTGTTAGTTTGTCCTCTTCTGTGGGACAGTCAGACAGTGGAGGACATTTCAGACTTCACATGTAGCGTTCTCTCCTCCATTAAAGTGTCTTTTGTGTAAATAAATGATTGCATAGTCTTTTATGAATCAACTTGAACTCGTCTGAACGTTCACTTATTGTGTCACTTTTCACTTCGCACAGTCAAGATATTAACAAGTTATGAGAAATACAGTACCTTGGTAAAAGTTTCCTCATAAACTTGTGTATGAGAGATGTGGGAAAAGCTTAATTCACCTTAAGCTCACTCCTACACTCTGGTACTATCATAAGGAATCACTAACATTACATTTGATTCTCAGCTGAACTTGAGGCCAAGACAACTTTAAGATTTGCCCTCGGACGTGGTAGCAGGAAACGAAGCTTCGAGCAGCTCGAACCAAAACTACTGTATGTAAACATCTGACTGAAACTGTTCACCTGTATAAATGTGTGAAACATGTCAGTCTAACAAAATCCTTTAGTTTTGTTACCAATATTTATAAATTTTAGAAACATCTTAATGTAATTCACAGTGATGGAATGTTTTAGGTGAAGTAGTTTTTTTTCTTTCTTCTTAATAAGTTCTATTGAACAGAAGGTAACAGAAACATTACAAATAAACAATTATCATACACTCAAAAGAGTGTGCAGAAGTAAACACTTACATTATCCCACCTCTTCTCCTGTAACCTTATTCCATCACTTCTTAATGATCAAGAAAATTATAAAAAACTAATGTATCAACAACACTTTCTCTGTCTATTCCTTTTTAGTTTAAACCTTTGAAACTTGAGACAGTTTGTTTCAAGATCAAACTCCCAATTTATAAGTTTGTCCTTAATGTTTATAATTTTACCAACAACCCAAGTTAGAATTAGTTTCTACTATTTACAGAATTAGTTCCTTTGAGAATGTCTTCTATATCAAAATAAATGTGTTACTGCATGATATCCTTGACTCATTTAAAATCAATCAAACTGAATCGTGAATCGAATCAAATCAAATCGATTCAGTTTGGGATATCTGAATCAATACCCAGCCCTAGTTTGAACTGGATGTTGGTTTTCTAGWTTTTCTCTGACTTGACACAACCTCAGTCAGGATATCCATATTTTTTTCTCTGAGGTTTCCATAAGATGAAAGTTGATCTGGTTTCTCTAACCACAGATGGTTTAATTTTGTTCCTGGTTCTGGTTCTGCAGGACTGAAGTAGCTGTGGACTGGTTTTATTTTTAACCTCTTGTATGTTGAACCTTTGATACGTTTCCAGGAGAGTGTCACATGTTGCTGGTTGGTGATCCTGGTACGGGGAAGTCTCAGTTTCTGAAGTATGCAGCTAAGATCATAGCTCGCTCCGTGCTCACCGCTGGGATCGGATCCACGAGTGCTGGTGAGGCTGCTTTATTTCCTCTTTAGAATGAACACTTTAACAGAAGTGCAGCGCAGGTTGTTTGTGTTTTAACGCCACCCTGGATGTGCTGAAGGTCTGACAGTGGCTGCAGTGAAGGATGGAGGGGATTGGCACCTGGAGGCCGGAGCCCTGGTTCTGTCTGATGGTGGTTTGTGCTGCATCGACGAGTTCAACAGCATCAAGGAGCACGATCGCATCAGCATTCATGAAGCTATGGAGCAGCAGTCCATCAGTGTGGCTAAAGCTGGGTATGAAGGACACAAACCCCTCCAACACATCTGGAAGAATARTGTTTAAGAGCAGAAGGATGTGTCCAGTCAATGAGGAAAACCAGATATAACCTTTACTGCAGATGAGTGAAGTAAACAGTTTTGAGTTTTATCTTCTCTAAAAGCCGAACCAGGAAGTAGATCTTKAGATTTACCTTCCTCTTGAAGTCACCTGTGCAACACATCCATGTTGTTTAATACAGATGTTCTTAACCTTTTTGACCTCYGGGCCCAATTTGTTGAACATAAAGAGGCACAAGACCCAGTCAGACATTACCAATGTATGGATCAAAATATAATTATTCTAAATCTTGGTTTAATTTTTATTGTATTTACATCATAACTAAACTATCATAACTAACATAACTAAATTAAATACACTTACAGTTTAAAAGTAAAACTCCTGTCAAATAATCACAAGACGTGATTATAACAAACAATTTTATGTTGTAAACTGCCC